CGTTTTAGGAGGGCGTGGCTGACTCTTAACTTTTATAAAGAATATCTCTTTGGATTTGAGACTTTAGTCTTTGCAACTTTACAGATCTTCTTTATGCACCAAGAGCTTGTAACACTCCAAAGAGAAAGGAAAAATTGAAATCGCATCATATGACCCCTTTAACTGCTTGAACTGAACCTTTACTAGAAAAGTCTCTGGCCCGGCCATGCGTTTCTTGGATGATTTTTTTTTTTTTTGCTAGTGCAATAATTATTAATTCCAGTGTGTGGCAGAATAGACCACAAATTATTGATTTCATGTTAATGGAATAAATACTCGAATAAGCCGTTTGAATTGCAATTATGGAATTGAATATGAAATTGGGAGAAGGGATTTAAATAAATCATCTATTTTAATTCTACAGTGTGTATTGTTAATTCAATGGCTGTTGTACTGTGGTGTAATGTATTGGCCAGGCCCTAGATGACGTGTGTAACACGCAGCGCTGACGGACCAATCAGAGTCGTCTCTGAAGTTATTTATTTATTTGTAAGAAAGACAGGTTTTTCAATATAAGGTCTGGTCTGTTTAGTGTACTGCAAGATCAAATATGATTGACAGCTAGAGAGCGTTTCTGATTGGCTGAAAAGGGCAGGCCACTCCCACTGTATTGTTTGTTTGTTTGTTTGTTTTTGCTGAGCTAGGGGTTGTCACAAAGCTAGATGTAATTTCTCAACACCGTTACTTTAGTCATATTTTCTAGGTAGTTCCATGTGAGCTGATTTTATGTGTGTTTATAATAAAATAATTCGTGCACAGTTCCTTCAAGACCGGCCCTGCGTCCCAATGTTCATACTTTCCATCCTAAATAGTATGTGAGAATATGTGTGAAGGGCCCTTCGTGAAGGGATTCAGTCCTTCACTTTCGTTTGGAGCGTCTCTACAAATGGCGTCCCCTTTCCGAAGGGCCCTTCAAGGGCACAAAAAAGCCGGTGAAGTGAGGCTCCGTGCACACGCTAATATTGCCCACAATCCATTTCGCTTTGGCGAAGGATTCGGTTCAGAACTACAAACACGCATAAAAAGCGCTTTTTAAAAAACTACAAACATGGCGGATGTGCGCGTTTTTTAGCATGTTTAGATTGGAACCGAATCTAAACTTTAGATAAAGGCGTTTGAGTTAGGCTACTAATCAGCATTTAACCTGGTAAAAAATATTGATTTAATGTTATCTGTGTTCAATTTCATCTGCAACAACAATGTGAACGTTTTTAAACACCCATTTGTCGTGTGGCTCTCTAGCGCTCAGCGCCGCTGTGGTCAGTGCAGGAACTACACGAGCGCCGCTCTGGGAGGAGCACCGCTGTCACAGCGTGCAGGAGGACACTTAACAACAAGCGCAGAGCTGCCGGCGGATCGCATCTGGTCGTCAGGTATGCCCAGCATATTTAGTTCTAGAGAGGAAAGACCCTATATTCGCGTTCACGTGATTTGCAGGAGTGTTCGTGTGTAGCTCGAGACGTATGGTTTTGTTAGTGTGCTTAGCATGCTAGCTGGCTAACCATATGGTGTGGTCTTCACTAACCAATCTAGGTGAACTCCTGAAGTATGCGAGGTTTTACATATAAAACATTTCGATTTTCGCGTCTTTTTAAAGTCGGGATTATCGACATGCCTCGATGGTGTGGTGTGAAATAGCGCTAACTGTCGAGCTAACGAGCTAAATGGGCTTTAACAGCTAGCTCATAAACAGCTTTTAAACAACATTAAAACTCGCGTTCACTGTACACTAGCATATTGTTCTTTATGTAAAAAGTATAAAATGCTAAATACTGCAGTAGCTGTTGACTGGAGACCTTATTCTCTTGTAATGTGGAGCAGCTTTTGTGTCTGCTGAGCACTCTGTGATTTCTGGATCAAGCTGCCTGACATTGCTATTGCTTTAAACAAAGCCAGAGGCAGAGCAGAGCAGAGCAGGGTGTGCATTAAGTGTAAAACCTCATTTCCTCTCCATAGGAGCCACAGTCCTGGTGAAGTTGTATCGGACTGAATTTAATCAGCACAGTAAATGCTGTGGGGTTTGGTTTGTTGCTAGATAACTGGCGTCGACTTCATCTGTGAGACTCATAACTCCTCCAGTCTCTGTGTGTTGTTGACATCAGGTTGTCTTCCGTCCAACAGCATGGCTCGTGTACAACAGAAAATACAATCTCAGCAGAAAAACGCCAAGAAGCAGGCCGAGATCAAGAAATCCAAAGGCCACGACCAGAAGACCGCGGCCAAAGTGGCGCTGGTGTTCACATGTGGCGTCTGCAGGGTCAGTGGCTACTATAGACGTTATTTTTACCCCAACAGATCATCCTTAGAGGTTCTTCTCAACCGAGTTTCAACAGTTGCACTTTTGATGCTTTTTGAACTGAGTTGTATACACTTTCTGAACACGGGCCAAAGAAAGAACCCATGTTTTCACTGCATGCTGTCGATACAAAGCTGATTTTATACGTGGGTGTGTGTGTAGACAATGAATGTGTTGGGAAATTACGTTCTCAAGCTGCAACTTGTTTCTGACTGTGAGAGTTATTTACTGTAGGTAACACATCTGACTTGTCAGTACACCTTCTACCGATTACCAGTAACTGAGAGCCACCCGTGAGATTCATGGGCTTAAAGCTGGGCGTACACGGTGCGGATTCTGACGGTCGGGGATCGCATGTCCACGCACACGTCACGAGTGAGTTTATCAGAAAATCGCATGGACGCAGTGGTACACGACACGATTTTACGACCTGCCGAATTCCGAAGCAATAGCATGAAGTTCTCTGATGTAATGACATGTATTGAACGGAGCTGAGTTGAGAGAAGGGCAGTGTATAATAAACTGTGTAACCTATATGTAGTACATTTAAATAAAACCACTCTCACTCTCTCTTTCTCTTTCATAACTGTATAATACTGATACGAGACATACAGGTTCTTTTTCAGCACCGAGAAACTGGGATGTCTGATCATCCCGTGTGTGTGTGTGAATTATAAAGCCTAGTTACACGCTATAGCTAACAAAAAGCAGCTACCTATACGTGCTACATCTCACCTGATAACTGTAGCTCTTGAGCGATCCGCTGTAAAATATCATCTCGGACGACTCATGGTACACACTGCATGACATTATACAGCACTCGCTGCTTCTGCCAAAGTTCAGCGAGACCTCTCTCGTTTTCATGAAAGAATATGAGCAATACCTTTCATTGATCCAATTGTCGAAGAACAAAAAAGCTTTTAAAACTTTGTGTTTATAAATCTTTTCTTATCTTTAATGACATGCAAGTCTCAAATTGTTTAGTTTTTTCAGTTTGTAATGTATTAACCACCCCCTTTTTCTTTTAATTTATTTTGTTGGCATTGTTTATCACTTTTATTTGTTGATGGTTGTATTACTGTTTGTATACTGTTTTTGAACGTTAATTAAAAAAATGTCAGTGAGTTTGTCTTCCTTTTCAATAGTCCAAATTCACCATGGCGCTGCCATCGTCTTTCTTCTTCTGTCGTTTTCCTGAGCTCCTGATTGGTCAACTATAGATAGATCGACAAATCGGCTCGTTCAACTGCGCACACCTCACGAATTCAAGCCGACAGCTCCCGAACTTTTTTGACATGTTTATAAATCATCGGGAGCACGTGAGGCGATATCGCGTTCATAAATCGCAGATGAATCGCATTCGAGTATGAACGCGATATCGCCTAGCTTGTCAGTGAACTACGGCTCTGTGTGGTGAATGCCTCTCCATCTGAAAGCAGGTGATGGCGATTTACTAATAATCACGGGACCGGCTTTACTGACGAGATGCACTTGACAATCGCATGCGATTAATTGCACAGCCCTAGGGCTCGGCTCGTAAATCACTCCCACACGATGCGAGCCACGGCCATATGAGCATCAAAGATTTCCACGCGATTTCTCCCGATGGGAAAAAATCGCATACGAGCTCATACGACAGCAAAAATCGCACAGTGTACGCCCAGCTTAAGGGGACATCGGATGCCCATTTTCCACAAGTTGGTATGATTCTTTAGGGTCTTCATGAAATGTCTGTAACATACTCTGGTTAAAAGTCCTCAACAATCATGTAAAACAACACCCTTTTTACCATGTCAAAAACAACTCCGTTCACAGCGAGCCGTTTCGGTGCATGTCTCTTTAAATGATAATGAGCTACTGCTCACCCCGCCCCTCTCTTCCGTTTTTTGTGTATTCTGTGTTACTGTCAAAAACAAAACTAACCCACTGCTTTCTCAGTGGCTCTGATGTTGGGAGAAAATGAAGACTCGTGTTCTACTTTTACATCCAACTACAAAACACCTGCATTATGAGACATTGCTGTCGCTACAGCTGCTCCAGCGCGGAGAAAACAGCGGACAGCGTACAACTGGCTGAGACGGAGATATGGTAATACGGGACAGTCTATCAGCAGCAGTGGGCGGGGCTGAACAGTATGACGTCATAATGCTCAGAAAATCAAAACAGCTTGATAATTGAGACTGTTAAGGTTTTTGGGGGATTAAAAAAAAAAGGAGTGCATGGATTCTTATATATCATTTTAAACTGTTTGCATATAAATGCAGTGTGTGGACACAACCACCCTACAATGTTTGAAACACCATGAAAAAGTGAATTTTGATCGAAGTCACCATGAAATGATGTTGCCAACCCATTTTACTTGCGCAGTGTGTCCGATGGTATGACGTATGTACAGAGCAACAGTGGAGAAGTACCAAAATAACTATATTAAAGCAACTGTATGTAGTTTTGAAACAGAAGCCATTCACATTATTAGAAGACTGTGATTTTTGAAACTGATATTTCAAGGTAAAAAGAAAAAAGCCATGGTCACAAACATCCATGGTGTAGTGATGTATGAAGCACAGCTCACAAAGAAGTTATCAAAGCAAGCAGCTTTCTGTTGGTTAATGCGGCGAATCTACATGACCAGCTTGAACCCACTGTGAAATCTGTGGAGGGAAATCTCGCAAAATTCCCCATTATGTGGGTTCCTATTGAAAAAAATTCTCCTGCAAAAATTGGCAGCACCTTTAAAATAAATGTATTTAGGGCTGCACTTTAATGACTTAGCGAATAATCATTTCCCATTTTAACTATAATCACAGTTATTATTTCGGATTTTCCTCATTTGAGAATTTTTTTTCTATGTTGCATCAGAATTATTGTACTGTAACGTAAGCACAAATCAAGAGACTGTCACCTCATATGCAGGGTTTATTTGACCTCATCTAGTTTCCTGATTTATAATATTTGGCATATATACAATAACACTCTCTTTACATTAGAAAAAACTGGTAAAACCTTAAAGGGATAGTTCACCCAAAAATGAAAATATGATGTTTATCCGCTTACCCCCAGGGCATCCAAGATGTAGGTGACTTTGTTTCTTCAGTAGAGCACATATGATGATTTTTAACTTTAACCGTTGCAGTCTGTCAGTCTTATAATGCATGGTAATGGTAACAAAATCTATGAGAGTAAAAAAAACATGCACAGACAAATCCAAATTAAACTCTGTGGCTCGTGACGACACATTGATGTCCTAAGACACGAAACGATCGGTTTGTGCCAGAAACCGAACAGTATTTATATCATATTTTACCTCTAATACACCACTATGACCAACTGCCTTGAGCGCGCGCACGGCATCCGGTGCGTGAGCTGTGTAACGTGCTTTGGCGTAGTTTACGCGAACGCCAGAAGTGATCTCTCGCGCGTATACGTCACTCATTGTTTACACAGTGCACACACATTGTAGGTACGACGGCTAATCAAAATGGTACTTACTTGCGCTTATCCGGATTGTTCAATCCAACTAATTTGTTCATATGCACCCCTGTAATCGTTGCAATAACATTACAAATACAACACATTACTCACTCTATTGACAGCGTGCCATTGGGTCCCTCTGGCCTTGGACTTCGCCTCCAGTTTATACGTGGCAAGCTAAACACAATGTGCAAAACGCTGCGGCTCACCAGCGGAGAAAAGTCTGGATCTTCATTCAGGCAGGTGTGTGATGGGACACCCTCGGCAATGTCCTCGTTGGCGTCTTGTAGTTGTGGCATTGCTATGTTCCATTCGTGACAACAGATGCTCTCCACTTCTGTTGGCATCTCACAACACTTACTACAAGAACACCACCACTTTTGAAGAGATCTCTGTCTCTCTGAGGCTTGAAGACGTGCTGCT